CCCCCCCCCCCCCCCAGGCATTTAAGATGCTGTAGTCAGGCCCCTTTTGCTTGGGTTGCGATTCCTTTCATCTCCGCAACAAAGCGCAACCAAATTAACACCAGCCCTCCCCCCAATAACCGCCCCCGCCATGCACTCCCGCAGCCGCTCTGCATTAACGGGGCACCTGAGAGCCACTGCCAAAACAGGAAAGCAGGCGCCTAATTGAAAGGGAGTATTTGGGAGTCACCCTATACAAAAATTAGCAGAGATATGCTAGGAAAATAAAAGAGTGGGCATTAACGGCAGGCTTATCTTCTTTTTCCGTGACTCTAATGTTTGGGACGTGAAGAGGCCAAAAAGTTTCACATACTGTTCTGAGGAGCTGGTCACGGAGAGGAGCATCCTCTCCTTTACGTTCACCGCTCCTCCCAGAACAACTTAGGCTGATTTTGAGGTATAGACCTCCAGAATTAAAATGCATATGTACACAAGCCAAAAAATCCCCTGCATTGCTACTATGCAATTGTGTAGCAAGTGCTGGGTCTTGGTTATGGGTTGAGAAATCAAGCGCTGCCTGATTTCAATTCACCTGCGTTAGGTTTGGTAAAAACAGTAAACTGTGCTTAGGGAGAAAGAGAATACGGATGTTTTCCGTCCCAAGGAAGGACCACGGGGGACTCCGTTTCTGGAGGTGGGACTGAATTTTAAGGTGAGTGGCCAGAGACAGCTCAACGAGGCTGGTTTCCAGACGGCACGGGGAGCCCCTCTCCTCGCTACCCACGCCTGGCCACAATCCCAGCCTGGGACCGTGACCTGTCCCCAGGGGAAACGCCAGCGGGAGCCAAGAGGAGGATTTAGGATTAACTCCAAAAAATCAGCCAGTCCCACCCCACCCTGCAGGCAGCCTGCGGAAAGGAGCAAAAGCCCTCAAGGCCAGGCATTGGGACGCCGCAGCCTGGCAGGGAGCAGGCAGGCCTGCCTGCAGTCTCAGCGGGGTCGGCAGTATCTGGACAAGCGACCCAGAGCCATCCCTGTCTGCTGGGACCACTCGGATCCTCCAGCCCCAGCTCCGGGCTGCAGGAGCCCGGCCGGCTCTCGGAGCGGGAGCGAGCCACAGCAATAGAGAGGGGGAAAAAATAAAAAAAAAAAAGGAGAAAAAGCAGCGGGAAGCCCTGCTGAGAAGCCCCCTTTTGTGTAAACACACTCCGTCCTCAGACTAAAAATAAAGGCAAACCACAGGAAGGGAGTGAGTGCTTGGACAATATCCGATTTGGTGTGTGCCTGGGTGTGAGCTGAGGGAATGGGGAGAAGAGCAGGGGACTCCACCCAGCGCAACCACACAAAGGCAGCCGTTTAAGACCTTCAAGATGGACAGGCATTCCTGGAGATTATTTAAATCCAAATAACTGCTGCTTGGCAGATGCGCAGTCCTTTGGTATGTGCGCAGCACTTGGAAATGTTAAGTGAGGGAAAAGGCTGCCATGGCAGGAGCAGGAAAGGCAGGATGACTGCATGAGGCCCATTTTACAGGTTCGGAGACCGAGACCTGAGGCTGTGAACTGAAGCCCCATAAACCTGTCAGAAAACAAAGGAAGCAACCCAGACAAGATGTCAGCTGAAATCTTTGCAGCTCACAGGTCCATCCTCAAAAATTACCTTTCCCTGCACACTGCCCTTCGCATCTCAGTCACCGCTGCAGCTGAAGAACCAAATCCAAAACAGCCACACGCACGTGAAGGCTGCGGAGAGCTGATCGAGTTGACTGCCCACCCCAAAGGGGTCTCAAATGCTTCCCCAGGTGGTGGGCTCAGAGACACCGCACCCTGCCATCGCCATCGGCCAACTCAAGAGGATGGAGCTTCACCGACACCTGCACGGACAAGCGCAGCCTCCTCGCAGGAGGGATGCTTTGCTGACGGGTGCAATCGCACCCAAGAGACAAGCATCCATCCATGCCGTGCAGAAAGCACGCAAGATAGAGTGAGGAGGCTTCTTGAAGCCCAGCGCTCACCGTTGGTGCTGACACACCACTCAGAGGCCTTCTGGGGAAATGCAGGACTTTGGAGGAACCAACCATTCAGCCTGGCTCGAAACAGTTCTCTCACACGGAAGCGGTCTGTAAAAGCAGAGAAACCCACAGCTCTCCCCAGCCAGCCTTACAGCCACAGGTCCCACCATACAGGCAGCACCAGTCTGGGGTACTGGTGTTTGGGGCTTCGATCTGGCCACCATCAGCCCGATGTTCTTCCACGCGCTGGAAACCCTCCTGTCTTTAGCCAGCCACGGCTAAACTGCAGCATCTGCAATGCTCAACCACCTCATTTCCCTTCCTTTCTCTATTTTCTGTCAGAAGAAAATGACATAGTGCTCGTCAGTGGAGGAAATCAAAGACGACTATGTTGACCTCAACTTGGGCATGTTTCCTGCTGACGTTTGTATTCCTCTAATTCTCTCCTCCTGGTCCCATGTTCACTTTCCTACCATCAGGTCTCACCCTGAGTATTTGTTTTCTCTCTACTATTAGAAAGGTCTCTAGGTCCACATTAAAGGTCTCCTCTGAGCACAGCCAAAACGCAAACCCCCCGCTTCCTTTAGAAAACAACTTCCTATGAAACACAGCTGTTTGAAGCAGGTCAGTTGCCTTCTCTGCAAAACACGTCACACCGAGCACAACCGTCCTCGCTTCATTCTCATTTCCAAGTACCTGCTGAGACTTTTACCGGCTTTCATTTGGGGCATTTCTTAACAGGCTAAATATAAAATGCAAACACCTTTCCACAAGGCTCTCTGTGAGAGGGGAACAGCTGCTGGTGCAGCAGCTTCTGTCCCCACCCCACCGTCCTTGCACACCGTACCGGCAGCACAAAATAACACAACGGCACAAAAAGACAGCTGTGCCACCAGCCATCAGCCCTACAAACACCTACGTGACTCACCTCCTGCCTCCCAGCTCGGCGGCTGAATCCCAACTGTAAATCAAAACTGAAGATCTTTCCTTGAAACCGACTTTAGCAGGCCACTTGCAAGCCCCTAAGGTGCTGCTGGACACAGGGGAATCCAAGAAAAAGGTGACACCTTCTGTTTACTCAGTTAATTACACTTTGTTATTGCTGGAGTGGCCGCTGCAGCACTCATGGACCCCTTTCACCGCAACTCCCTGCATCTTGAGATGTGTTTCCCTGCAAACACCTCTTGGGGATGAGGATGGAGGGAGGGGAAGAGGACTCGGGGCGCAAGCAGGGCTGCAGGTGGGAGCCCCGAACCTCTGCCTTGCCCAAGCTGGAGCTGCTGCTGGGGAAGGTTAACGGGGGAGACTTGCACCCACGGCTCCTTGAAACCCCAGCAGTTACCTGCCCCAGCCCCTCCAGCTCCTTCCTTGGCTCCCCAACATGGCTCTGGGCAGCAAACGCACCGGTGTGCAGCCTGGGGTCAGCACTGGTGGCACAGCTCACCACAGCCAGGGTCTAAGTGACCTCGGGGGTCTTTGGATAGAAGATCTCCTTAACACAAAGTCACAATCCTCCATTTTCGTAGGCACAATGCTTAATGCAGAGTTAGACAGCAGAAGGCTACAAAGAGTGACTGCAAATGTAGCCACTCCCTGTTGTTAGAAAACTTCCAAGGGCAATACAAGTATAACAAGCGCACACATTGAGAGCTCAGTTCCTGAGGTTACACACCTAAATTAATAAGACATCTTCAGTGACGCTCTGGAAATACTTACTCCTTCCAAAATTACAGGTTGCCTCTAAAAGATCGGTACCAAAGGACAGGGGACACATCTGGAAGCACTGAAGTCTATCTCTGCCCAGATGTGTAACTTCACAAAGACACCTAAGGAGAAAACCCCAGCAGATTAATGCCTCCTGAGCCCAACGTGATGAACCCCCAGTTTTACCTGGATCAAGGTGCGTGAAGGACCCGATGACAAAGTCCAACGTCGAGACGGCCAGTAGGAAGAGCAGCAGGAGCTGGAGCCTGATGATCCACTTCACCCCCGCCAGGTTGATCCCCAGCAGGCCCAGCAGGACAGCCAGGGAGATCCCACGCACTGCCCAGATGTTGCTGAGGCTCAGGACATCTGCGATGGACTCCGCAAAGCCAGTGATGTACATGGCACCTGCAACGCACTGAAGGACAGAGCTCAGTGAGCGCCCCGTGGGAGAACAAGGGATCCCCATGCACAGCCCCCATGCCAGGCCGGGTGGGTTTCTGTTCAGACAGACAGACCTTTGCTGTCACAATACAATCTTTAACGTTACTCTGGCCTATAGGGACTGAACCTTATTGCTAGAAGACAGCACACTGCCAGGGCAGCATACCTACTGCCCAGGTAAACAGAGAAGGCTGGGCACTAGGGCCAGCAGCCCAGCAACTTTCCACTGGCTTTAAAATTCACCCTCCATTAATGCTCCAGGAGAAGCCACGCTGGCTTCTCCAAGGGAGAAAAGCATGAGTCAACCTCCAAGCTTCTTCCCTTCTTCTGTTTCTCCAAAGGATGTGGTCCCAGCTCAACACCTGCCTGAAGAACGGCAGTTTGCTTCCCCCTTCATTGCATCCCAGGGGTTATTTTTAACTCAGTGTTTAGTTTGGATGTAAAGTCTGATGTTTCACCGGCTCCCCATCTCGCTGCTGGAACGGAGCCTGCACTTTTGAGGACAGCGCATTGTGCAAGCCATGCCCCCTGTGCTCCCGGGAAAGCTGCTTGTTTGTCTTGCTGCAGGGCAGGACACGTGTTCTGCCCTGGATGGCTGCGAGTCTGCAGGATGGGACATCTGCAGCACAGCTTCAGGCCTCAAACACCACCACAGGGCAGCAATCCTAAATACCAGGACATTTATTTCCCTCCAGAGGTTCCCACTCACTGACATTTCAGCAACAACCCCCTTCCAGTGCACGGCATCCCTGGCAAACCAGGTCGGGGACGCCTGTCCTGCGACCTGTGGTCCTGCGACCATATCCACTATCCCCATCCACGGACGAGGGATGGGCAGCACAGCTCCCACACGGCTGGAAGGGAGAAAACACCCACCCAAGCCAGCAAGAGTCAGAGCAGACCCTTCCTTTGCTGCAGATGCCCCTTGGACCGACCCAGCACCGCTCCACTGAGGGTGTTGACAACCTGACCCATACCCAGCAGCTGCGGGTTCACGCACGGTTTTCGGCAAGCACGGTGCACGGGATTCACCTGTTCGAACTTGGACACCTACAACTTGGAGATCCTGGAGAAGGATTCACTTCCATCATAGGCAGACACCTAGCACAGACAGCGTGAACTACACCCTGAAAGTCTCTCATTCTCGCTGGTAGCCCCACCGTGAATGTCTCCATCAGAGAAGCCTCAGACTCTGCAAGGTAGTCCCCAAATAAGTGGATGTATTCTTGTTTACTTGTGTTTAGCATGGCCTACACTACCACTAAGTGGACCACACACGCCTTACAGGGGTGCTTTCTCCAGAAAACAAGTCCCTCCTGAGCTAGCAGAGGATAACACCCTGTGCCGGCACAGCTCCACTTGGGGCACCCACAAAAACTCCACTTGAGACCTGAAGCCAAAAAAACCCCAAACAGAATCTCATTCCAATAAACACGTTAAAACTAGGTGCAGTTCTTGCCTCTCACGTGAGGAAAAGCCCTGTAGACAGAAAGCAGTCCTAACCCCAACTCCCTATACCTGACCAACAACAGTTTTTGAAGAAGTTACGTTTTCTTAACTAAGTTTTCTTTCCTTTCACACCAAGGACGGCAATGTGCAAGGACACTCTGAAGGGAGCAGAGCGGAGCAAGCCCCTGACAGTCTCAGCACCACAAGGCTCCTCGAAGCCTTTCCCCTGATGGACCATGAGCATCACCAGCAGAACAGAAGAGCTGGGTGCCCACAAACACCCCGCTGCTCCGCACACAGCAATGGCCGGGGCCCCCTGCGGCACTGGGACACAGGCTGGCTTCTCATGAGCTACCCATCTCGAAATCAGAACTGAGTTCTAGGCTGAAATTTGCAGAAATCAGTCCCTTACGAGCCTTTGTAAAACAAACCCTTTGCTGGGCGAGGAACGTAATTGACTTTCAACACCCAGACAAGAGCTTCCACTACCTTTGCTTTTGGGATTTTAGGGCTGGACCCTGGAAAACCTCTGCTTGCCCAAGCAGGTCTTACTGCAAACCGCTCCAGGAAAGGAGACTGCAGAGAAAAGCACCAAACCCCAGCCTCGTGGTTAGAGCTGCGGTGACCAAACACGCATCGGTCTCTCTAGGACCTAGTAGACGTGTGCTGCATCTTTTAGGGCAATCTGATTAAGCCTCTCCTCTGGAGCATGCCAAGAGGACAGCAAAGCCCACCTTGGCCACCAGCTCACCTTGGCTGATGTGGCAGGAGCCCATCTCTGCAGCAGCCCCGCGGCAGTGAGCCACCTCTCATCTCCGAAGGCATCAGCAGCACGTGGCCAGTCATTCCCCACTTGCCCCAGTCAGACCAGGGAACGGGGAATACCCCCATTTCTGGCCAGACTCACCTCGTGACAGAGGTTACAGCGCTCCGTGAGCATCTTTTAGCGGGGGAGCAGCCCGCGGCTGTCGCAAAGCACGTTGGGCAGAAAGCACGGCCAAAGAGAAGGGAAAGACATCAGCTTTCGGGAGCAGGCAAAGCGCTCCTAAGCGAGCTGCCAGCTCCCACCCCGCAGCTCCCCGTGCGCACGGGATGCCTCGGCAGCGGCAGGGGCCGGGGCTGCCGCAGCCCAGCTTTTACAGCCCTCAGGACAGCCTGCAACCTGATTGCTTTCCCAGACGGGGTCCGCTCGGAGAGCAAGAGTGGAAAATATGACAGGAAGGATTCTCATGTGTGGCCCATTTCCATATCTTGGCTTGTAACTGCGTTCAGTTTGTATTTTATGGACACTTGCTTTTAATCTGGAGTGAAAGGAGAAGAGGGGACTATTTTTGGTTTGGGGTTTTTTAAAGGTTTTTGGAGATTGCTGCAAGCCAGTCAGTTAAAAACAAACCTCAGTAAAAACGCTTCTCTGCTCGCCACATTTTATACTGTTCATAACATCTTTATGGGGGGAGGGGGTTAAGTTACTGCAGGTTTAAGAGATTACTTTCCATTCTTTATGTTTGTTACTTGTGTATTTCGGTGCTTCACCACCATGACAGCTCCTTGGGGCCTTTCAGAAAATCCAGAACCGTGGCTTTTAGATCTCAAGAAGACAATTGGCTGTGGCTCTTACCGTTCTCCTCCCATACCGGCTCCACTTCTGCTGGCTCCCGCAGAGAAGCAGCCAAGGCTTGCCCGGTCCCTAAGGGCACAGGGAGCACGCCAAGGCCGACCTGCCAGCCCACAGCCACTCGCTGTGCTTTAGGTGGCCACCCTGGCCTCTCCCGCTTTGGTTTAAGTCAAGTCGCTCGCCAGCAAGGGCATGTCCTGGCAATGGGGGTAATTTGGGATGGGAGGGCATGTCCTGCATGGTTTGCTTGTTCAGACACCCAGTTCCCGCACCGTTGTGACCCGTGCCAGGCGGTGTATTGCCATGCACAGGCTTGCTCTTGGGGAGCAGAGTGGGGCTGAATGCTCCCCGTGGTGCTCTCCCATGCTGTCCAGCACACTGGAGCATTACTCGGATTTTACTTGGAGCATTGCTTCCTGTGGCGGGAAAGCACAAGATTAATATCTGCATTGCAAAGTTTCTATATTTTCTTTAAATAACTTTTTTTTTTTTTTTTAATTACCTGGCCAAAAATATAAAGGAGGCCAACGGTCCCCCCTACTTGACCTCCAAGGACAGTAGAAATCATGGAGTAGACTCCTCCACTTCCGATGCTGCACTTCTCACACACCCCAATTCCAGATAAGACTGTCACCAGGGCAACCAGGATGACAAAGGACACCAGAAACATGCCCATTACAATGCCAGTGTTTCCCTGGAATGAAGAAAAAAACCAAACAAAAATAACACACCTAAATAAAGATCAACCCACACCATGAAGATGTCGAGACAGAAAAAGGACCCATCTGCTCCTAGTCACTAGTGATCAATGAATCTGGAGTCATCACAGATTAAAAGAAAAAACCCACGCACCCTACTTATCTAATTAACGTAACTGATTGCCAAATTTACAGATCCTATTAACGTCCCTCTGAAGAAGACCTGCCTCGTCTTGGGGCTGGGCAGACCTTTGCATGAATCACTGATTTTTTCCTCTGGTTTAAAAAGAACGAGGTCAAACAATGATTCAGCCACCAAGGGCAGGGGATCACCACCTATTTGTATGTTTTAGAATGACACGCTTAAAAAAAAAAAAAACCACTTTCATAACAAAAAGTAGTTTCAAAATTGAACCCCTGGGTTTTGTGCCAGCTGATTTGTTAACAGCATCAAGCTCACATTTTAATTTTTCAGAACATTTACCTTTAAAAGCTCTGATCCTCCCAAACAACAAGATACCAAAGAACAAAACCCCAAAGGCAACACGGCGCGGAAGATAAATAACACTCTCATAAACCAGCGCGTGCTGGGCCTTATCTGCAGGACGTACACCGAGTGGCAGGCAGCTCTCGCCCTCCCTGTGCTCGGGGGAGTTTTGTGCAGAGGATTCAGCCCCACTGAAAAAACAAGCCCCTTCCAGCTCGGGTCGGAGGGAGGACTCCGGGAGGAGCTGCTGCATCAGCCATGGTCTGGCTGGGGGTGAGGAGCAAAAGCCTCTGAACAAACCCAGCTGCAGGTCCCTGTTAGCAGCTTCAAGGGCCAGCGTCACCCTTATTTTTGAGGATTCAGTTTGCCATTTAGGTCGGATTTTCAGAAAGAGAAGGCGCTCAGTACCTCCAAAAACATTCAAGCACCTCTTCTGAGCTCGGGACCTCCCAACCCTCTCACACACGGCTGTAATTTATTTTCCAGGGTCAGAAGTTTTCCCTCGTGCTCCAGCCCACCTTCCCCTGCTGACAAATCGCTCAGCCTGGTGCACAGTGATTCCAACTGTGCAATCAGAAATCTCCTCCAGTGCCCAGCGCTTCGTTAACGTCTGCCTTTCCTTCCCCTGCCTTTACTCATATTACAGGCCGTGTCCGCATCCCTCCTTTCCAACCTTGCTCCAGCAACGTTCATTTTTGAGGTCATACTAGCCTTGATGGGGGTTTGTTTATCACCAGCACTAAAAGGCTGCTTCTCAGCTTTGGGGTTGGTTGAAATCCCAGATTTTTTTTCTTTTCTCTTTTTTTTGTGAAACAACAGAAACATATCCAGGATGTTGCTATCATCATAAAATCCTATTTTGGTTCAGCATCCTGCTGCCTTTGACAGGGGTTTTATCTGGTCAGTAGGGAACGGAGCCAAGGTTTGCTATAAATGCAGCTGCTGGCTGGGTCAGCACCACAGCCCACTACAACCTGATACTCCTTCTTTAGAAGGACAATTGGACTTTTTTTCTTCAACAGCTTACCCGAGGTTAAAAGGGTTAATAAACACGACATGCTTCAGTTAAAAACAAATAAAATAGCACACATACGCAAACATACACATAGCCTTGGGCTTTTCCAGAATCTGCTGGTGGCAGCAGGCTATGGCAGCAGCTAGTTAATGGGCAGTCCAGTGGTTCCCACAGAAGAAAGGGTTAACACAAAGACCAGGGAGGAAGGCTGGACTCACAGCAACAACAGCAAGCAGAGAAAGTGGGAAGAAAAAGCCCCCATTAAACACTGATGCCTATTTATGCATGCGTGCTGGAAGGGGTTAGTGCAGTGTTATAATAGTTGTTGAGCATTTTGGCAAGATTAGGGTCCCCTGGAATTGCAAAGCTTTACCAGACCCGGCTCTGGAAATTTATAGCAAAAGCCTGACTCTGCGAACAGCTCGACATATGACTGTCCTCTGCCAGGGGAGCTCTCTGCCAACCCGGACTTCTCCTCCCTTCCCTTTTATGCTAGCTTCCAGCTGGTTCAGTTTTTCTTTTATTTACTGGCTTTATTTTTATTTGTGTTTGCTCCAGCAGTAACTTGCTTTCAAAGGAGACGTGGAGGAAATAAGATCAGGGGGAAAAGGGAGCTAGGAAAATCATCCCGACCTCTCCACCACGATGACTGCAGCTCCCCTCAAAGCCTCCAGTGAAGCAATTTTCAATACAGAGTGCAAGTGTCTTCCTGCTCCTTTTGGAAGATGTCCACCGTGCCTGTGACATGAACTCGTGCCTGTGACACGAACTCTGCCCGAAGCTCAAATTCCACCCGTCCCTAGGGGAGCTTTCCTTCTTCTAAGGGGAAATTTTGAGGGACAATCCAATGTTTTGCATCAGGAGGGGAGCAGAGACACTCTTCCAGGCTCTGACCCTCAGTAAGATACTATTCTGGATCCACAAGTGGAAGTCCCTTTGACAGCGATGACAATTTCACCTGACTGAGGACTCCAACACTGACACATTTGGAAGAGACCTGCTTCAGTGGTGTTGGGAAGATGGCCGAGTGGCTGTAACTACAGCAATACATTTTACCTGAAAAGTGGTTATTTTGTCTCAACAATACAACACAAGGGTGTCCCTGCTCATTGTCAAGGTTGGTTGTTGGGTTTTTCTTTTTCTTTCCCAAAGCTAAAATAGGAAACCACTTATGTAAGACTGCTTCAGCCTTCCATTTTAGTGGAACTTTTTGAAATGCTACAAAATACCAGAGGATGTAAGCAATGCCTACAATGAGCAGCAAAGAATCCAAAGTACCTGGGTGGCGACGGAGATACGAGATAAGGACTTGAGGAGGAAAATGCCTATTCACATGTTCAACCAAGTCAGCACTCACTCACCACAAGCCATCCCGTCCTCAGGAAAAGAACCACTCCAAAAATGTTGATCATGCAGGAGGTGAAGACGCCATCCCACGTTCCAAAAAGCACCGGCTCCCACACAAACAGCTGGATCTTCCACCAGGGCTTGGTCTGTGTTTGAGATACCTAGAGGAAAGCAAAGCCTTCAGTTTTACCTCTTGTGCTTTATAGGCAAGCTGCAGAAGTGGTGCAACAGCCAGCCACCAACAGTGGGACGGCCACCGGCAGCTGCTAACACACCACTTTGCTGCAAGAGAGTGTTCCCTGTAACACCCTATTTATATTCTTGTAGGATAAGCAGCAGCAGAATCCTACTCAGCCTCAGCGAATTAACCCCCTTGATGATGTTACACAAACCAAAAACACCATTCAAGGGATCCTTTACAGAGCCTGCAGCTATATGTTGTGCTTCTCCTTCTGTCCCTGCCAAGCACACCACCAAGACAAGCAGGGTCCTCAGTGCACTGGAGAAGTCTCTTAGATGAGAAGACAAACCAGGCTGGACCAACTGGGACTGACAGCGTAGGTTAAGATGGTCTTCCCATCACATGCAGTCATTTCTGGTCAGGACACCACGTTTCTAGAGGAGACGCGGGACTCTGGTACTCAGGGCACCAGTGAATTTCAGAGCTGCTGGAACCGAGACCTGACACTCCAGGGAAACTGCCGTTTTCTTGTTGCAACTGCTCCCTCCCGCCTTCTGGAAACCAAGTCCCCTCTCTCCCTTTTAAATAACACACCTGAGGTTTACGCAGCAAAAAGAAGGGCAGTTTTGTTACTTCAGCCCTGTTTACCTGCCACAGAGGTGACCAGGAGGAGGTGCGGAGACCACAGAGATGGAAACTTGGGCTATGAAGGGAAATGACTCTCCTACATACCTGCTGTGCTTCCTCGTGGAACAGCTCTTGGACATATCCTTCGCTTCTGGGACCATTCAGGCTGAACATCGTATCCTTCGTGTCGCCTCTGCCTGTCCAACGCGCAGCTCTAGCACTACAACAGGTGAGGCTGATCCGAACAGAAGGTCAGCTATTCTCCTCAGTCAAATGCCTGCGGTGCTGGATCCCCCGTTGTAGAAGATTCATGATTTTATTGCACTTACTGTGAAAGCGGGAAAGATAGAAGACACCGCTCTTGCCTTCTGAATCTGCAGAAGCACAAGGTGATTACCTAGACGGAGCCGAGAGCGACTCATAGCAGATGCTGAACCACAGAGCGACACCACAGCAAGCAGAGAGCAGTACTGCCCCAGCACCCTCCCAGGACCTGTCCGTGGCACAGGCTCTGTCATCAGCCCTACATTTAACAGCCCTTGGTGGCCTATGCTGAATCTATCCACACCGCTGGGGTCCCCAGCATCCCGCAGCACTAGCTCCACAGCTTCACTGTGTGCTGTGTGGGAGAAGTATTTCCTTTCATCGGTTTTAAATCTGGTGCCTGGTAATTTCATTGCATGCCCCTGTGTTCTGGTGACATAGGACACATGAACTACTTACTGCCCAGCACCACTAATCACTTCACAGCCTTGATCGCATGCCTTTCAGCTGTACCTTTTGCAGACTAGAGTCCTGCCGATGTAACCTCTCCCCTGACAAATGACCTCGTTACCCAGCTCTGCCCCTCTTCCAGTATGACGCAGAGATGGAACTGGAGCAGCAGAAGCTGTCCACCAACACAGACCCACACTCTGCCTTCCTGATGCTCTCAGCCACATCCCCTGCACCGACGTACAGGAGCCCTTCTTCATGGTCGTACCCACCCTCGGAGGTACAGTTGTCTTGTCTGCAGCGGCCCAACTTCAGGTTTGTACCTGCCACAGGCAGACTCTGGCAGTGGGTCAGGCTTAATTCAACACCACGTATGTACCAAGAAAGCAGCATCAGGCTTTATTTCAAGGATAACTTAGCCCATCTTTACAGAAGGGGAAAGCTAGCACAAGCATTTCTCTGCCTCGAAATTGCTGGTTCCTCTCCTCATTGGGGTGGTTTTTATATGAAGGTCTCCCTCTAATTGTGGAAAGCTGCTTTTATACACCTCCCTCCAGCTGGCTGCAAGCCTTAACTTCCCCCAAATGGTCTTGTGATGGCCATCAACCAGTTACCCACAGTCTCCCACACCAATTGCCAACAGAGCCTTTCTGGCCATTCCTCAGCACAGCTACACCATGCCTAGGTAAGACAAAGAGGGCTGCAGCCAGAGGGAAGCAAGACATGCTCCACGGATGTGGAGAAGGCAGTTTGTCTGGATCATTGGCTCTCCTGGGGCTGACAGCTTCCTGGCCAGTTGAGCTCACATGCTTACAAGAACAACCATGACCACACGAGGCTTGTACCAATGGCTGGACACCTTACCTGAGACCACAGACCTAATTTATCATGGGTGCAGCGTGGGAATCTCTGACTCCTCAAGCTTGCAAGCTACGGAGACAAGACAACCAACAGAAATGTGCTTTTCCTATTGCACAGGGTCAGAGACGTACAGAAACTACTTTGGGTCACTCAAGATTTCTGCATCAGGGTCGGAATCCCAGCTCCCAGATAGGCACTTTCACCATCCTGTCTTTATTATTCTACTTTTAAATACCCGAAAATAAATAACCAATGCTGCCGCTGCTCCACCACGGTGTTTCAGCCGCAGAAGGACTCCTGTAGCTGGGGTACAATGGCCAGCACAGGACGTTTTTCTTCACCCTGTCCACGTGGCCGGTTAAGCAGCACCAAAGCCATAAGAGTTCATTGATTCTGCACCACTCCCTCCTCTTTTTTTGAAGCAAATAACCCTTCACAGTATCACAAATGGTCGCTGTTACTGCGAGACTGGGGCTTCAAGCAGGGTGAAAGCAGCAGGAGCAGAGGAACTCTAAAGAAACAAAGCTCATGTTTTTATGCAAATAGCCATTGTAATAAAAAAAAGCAAGAAAATACACGACGTGAAACAAGATTACAACTGAACAGCCATATTCTCCTAAGATTCCCCAGCGCAGCCCTTCCTCACCAGAGATTTCACTCAGTAAAGGATTCACTGTGGCCATCCAAACTCCTGCCTTTCACAGCAGTTCCAGCTGGATGTAGAAAGAACAGGGAGGCTGCAGCCCTGCGGCCCCCGGCTCTCCTAAACCGCTCCACCAAGGGAGCCCAGAAGGAGGTGGCCCCGACCCCTTGCAGCAGCACAGGTAGGTTTGATGAACCCGTATTATCAATCTGAAACTTGCAGAGTACAGAGAGAAGGGCTCCCCGCACAGATTTCGCACCTGGAGCTCACTTCGCAGGAAACGTTACCCTCCTAGACATTTAAACCCCCTTATCTCACAATTTCCTTCTTTTTTCTCAGCGTTAAAACCCCTCTCCAGCCCTGTGCTCCCGTGCCCTTTCCGCTCAGCCCTGCTCCCGCTCCCCTCGGTGCAAGAGCTTTCTCCTCCGCAGTCGCAGGAAATTGCCTCTCCGCTATTGCTCCTCTGCGGCGTTTCCAACCGCCCAATATCTTATTACCCAATTCCGCAATTGTTTACATCCCTCCTCAACGTACAGATCCATTCAGCCCTATGAGGTAACCGAAGCAAACACAGGAGGGGGTACAAGGCACAGAAGCGAGAGCTGAACAAACATGCCAGGACAGCCGCTGTACGCGCAGCCGCGTCCCGATCCACGCGACGCGCACGTTACTTTTGCGATTTAGGGTCCGAAAGTGGAAAGTCCTTGGGGCAGGAGCCTTCCTCTTGTCCCATGCAGCACGCTACCAGCGCAGCGTGGTTTCTAAGTTGCTGCACAGCACAGAGATGTTTTTGCGTGGTATTATCTATCTAGGTCACCAATCTAGTGGAAGCTTTTTCTGTTATACACACCAGTCTGCCAAAAAACCCAAAAAGGCACAGTTTTCCCTCTAATATAAGCGTACCTCTAACTCAAAAGTTAATTGATATTACTTTTCCTAAAGTTTCTGCCAAAGCCACTAACCAGTCTATAAATTAAAGAAGAATGATTGTTTAATCTTTCCATACCATTTAGCACTCAAGAGAGCAGAAGAGCATTAGCAAACCTCCTCGCAGAAACATTACAAAGGCTCGTCTCCTTTTCCTGCAACGCTCCTATATTTAATTACAAAACCAGATTCCTACAGATGAAATTTCTGTGCCCTCCACATCCTTTCGAAGCAATAATATTTTATTGATTGTCACATTAAAGCCATTTCTGAGCTAAGCGTCGCTGCTCTGAGCTACTCAACTGCTGGCTGATCTTAAAGAGGGAAGGTTAACGCCTTCCCGAGCACAACTGCGTGTGGTCCCACGACCTCCGAAGCCTCCGTCCCTGCCAGAGGAGGTACGTCCAAGCCTCCCTCCCTCAAGGGACCCAGCAGCCAACCGCACTTTAGTTTTAATAAATCCCCTCAACTCCTCTCCAGGTCAAGTTCTTAAAAACACCTAATTTAGGGGACCCTGAGGAAGGCAGGAATTAAAGGGAAATAAAGCAGCCATCGGCGCAACGAAGGTAACGCCACGCATAGGAGCGCTTGGTTATTCCCAGTTATTCCCGGTTATTCATTTACTGCAACAGCCAGGACAATTACCCAACTCTTTTTGTTTCTGCGTATCTCTGCGGCGTAACTAACGCTGCGGAACACGAGAGATGGGAAACGAGCCCAGGCTCACCTCAGCAGCCTTAATTCCCCGGTGTGGTCAGAAGGCTTCGGTTTTGCAGAGGCCGCGGCGCTGCCAACACCTCTGAGCCTCCGGCCGCTGGGCCCACCGCCGCACCGGGGCTGTGCCCACCCCTCCCCGGGAAACGCTGCAAGTACCTGCTCGCTCTCCCTTTTTCTTTTTTTGGCCCTTGTTTGCTCTTCTTTTTTTTTTCCTCCCTTTTTTGCTTTTCTTTTTTTTCTCCTCCCTTTTTTGCTTTTCTTTTTTACTCTTTTTTTTGGCCTTTTTTGCTTTTTTTCTTTGCTTTCCTTTTTTCTCCTTTTTTTTCTGTTTTTCTCCTTTTTTTG